ACATGTATTTTACCACAATGAAAAAAAAAAGGACAGATTCTTTAGGTTTCAGGCTTGACACCAAAAGCATGACCCCATAAAAGGAAAAAACGATACATTGAACCTCAATAAAATTTGAAACTTGCTTTGTAGAAGAATGTGTTAATAGGATAACTAGACAAGCTAAAGACTAGGAAAATGTATTTGCAAACCACATATCCAACAAAGGACTAGTATCTAGAACTCTGAATACCCAACAATAAAAAAAAATCCAATTAGAAAATGAGCAAAAGACATGAACAGACATTTCACTGAAAAAGATATACGTACGGCAAATAAGAAAATGAAAAGATATCCAATATCATTAGTCATTAAGGGAATTCAAATCAAAATCACAATGATATATCACTACAAACCTATCGGAATGGCTAAAATAAAGTGTTGTGACAACACTAAATGCTGGAGAGGATGCAGAGAAACTGCACCTGTCACGTACTGCTGGTGAGAATGTAAAATGGTACACCCACTCTGAAAAATAATTTTACAATTTTTTAACAACTAAATATACACTTACCATACATACAAGCAAGTAATCTCACTCCTGGGCATTTATCCCAGAAAAATGAAAACTTATATTTACATAAAAACCTATCCATAAATGTCCATAGCTGCTTTATTCATAATAGCCTAAAACAACCCAGGTGTCCTTCAGTGGGTGTGTGGTTAAGCAAACTGTGGTGCATCTATACTATGCAGTGCTACTCAGCTATAAAAAGGAATGAACTACTGATACATGAAACAACATGGGTGAACCTCTAGGCAAATATGCTGAATGAAAAAAGCCAATCTCAAAAGGCCACATACTGTATGATGTGATATATAAAATAACGTTGTATATAACAATGTTGAAATGACAGAATTTTAGAAATGGAAAACAGATTTGTGATTGCCAAGGGTCAGGGATAGGGGGAGGTGATGGAAGTGGGGAGTGTGGCTAAAAAACGCAACACGAAGGAATACTCTTCTATATCTGCACTGTGTCAATGTCAACATCCTGGCTGTAATATTATACTGTAGTTTCCCGAGATATCACTATTGAGGGAATCTGGATGAAAGTACACAGGATCTTTCTGTATTATCTCTTACAACTGCATATGAAGATACAATTATCTCAAAAGAAAAAGTTTAATAAAAAAATGTTTAAGGGAACTAGAAGTCTAGATAAAAATGGAGGTGAAGTTTATTTGTTTGGGGAATAAAAAAGTCATTCCTAAACATAAAAACAGAGATAAGGTTATATTGAGTAAGATTCACAGCTTTGACTGCAGAATACCTAAAAGTAATTTACAAAATTTTAAATACAAAAATAAACTAAGAAACAGTCAGAACATATATATCAGAGATGATTCTTTTAGATATAAAGAGAACCTACACAAAAGAAATTTTTAAAAAATGAAATCTCTCAGGAGAAAGACATAGGCAAAGGATATGAATAGAAAGTTTACAAAATAAGAAATGTCAATATATAATACTTACATGAAAAGAGTTTAATTTCAATAGAATTAATTACAATAAAATGTGAATCCATTGTTAGCCTCCTAGAAGAGCCATGAGTATCGAAAAGGGCAGTAATAAATGTTGGTGAGTGTCAATGAAATGAGGGATAGAGCAACTTTTCTGAATGCTAGTTTGTCAATATGTATCTGGATACTTTAAAAACCATTCATTTAGCCAGTGATTGTATGCCAGGAAATTTATCTTCAGTTATTAGAGATGAAACAATTATTAGAGATGAAATATCAGTGAAGATAATCATCGCAGCATTGGTTATGATAACAAAGAACAAGAAGCAATCTAAATGCCCAACAAAGGTAAAATAATGATATATCCACATATTGTAGAGTATGGCATGTTTTGAAAAATAACTAACAGCCTCATTAAATGTTCACAATATAATATGAAAAATAAAAGGTAGGACACAATGAGATTCAAAGATTTGTTAAAAATTATTTTTTATAAGGGTGGGGAAAGTAAGAAAACACATTGAATTGTTACCAATGGTTACTTCTGGGTAGCAAAATTATGGGTTACTTGTATTCTATATTTATTCTTTTAATTTTCCATTAAATATGAATAATTTACATTCTCAGAAAAATAGTAATTTAAAAAAAATAGAGCTGGCACCTAATATTTTTCTTTGTGTATCACAGGAAGCCACCTTTTATGGAAAGAAAAATTTAAATAAGGTAGATAAAAGTAAATTTTATACATCTGCAATTGCAAACTAAGAATTTCATGCAAATGAGGGCCCTACAACCATTAAATGATCATTCCCTGGGAAAACTTCTCTGATTTCCTAAAAAATAAAAAAAACAAACCAGTTGCCATTGAATCAATTTCAACTTATAGCGACCCTACAGGACAGAGTAGAATTGCCCCATAGTGTTTCCAAGGAGCAGCTGGTGGATTTGAACTGCCAAACTTTTGGTTAGCAGCCGAGCTCTTAACCACTGCACCACCAGGGCTTCTAACACAAAAGACTGTCCAAGCTGGAAGAAGAGGAACAAAACCAGGGCAGAATGAAGGCACAGTTCTTGAATACAACTGACTATGGAGAGATTGTTTCTTCATCTAAGAAAATGGATACAATCCATAGGGTCATGGGTAAATGAGCTTTTGGAGCAGACTACTAGCAGTCTTTCCCTAAGCTTTTTGAGGTCCTCAGTTTTTTGATCACCACCCTAGCCCTTCACCACTATAACCACACACAAGTTGTACACATTATACACGAAATGCAAGGCCTACTTCTAAAGTTCAGTGCATGCACATATCACCTACTGAGTGAACCCCAGGGCACCTAACATGTCCCAAGTGGCCTGGACATCAATCCCTTCAATTGGACAGAGGTCCTGGTTACTGTTATCAACCTTGGCTGTGTTCCAGGGGCCTGACCCTCATGGGCGATGAGCAAAGGTGAGACACTGGCAGTATGAGGCAGATCATCCTGATGCTGCTGCTTTGTTTGCAGTGATGAATGCTGTTCTGATTAAGAGAGTTCTTCTTTAAGTGACGGGATTAGTCCTTTTATACTCAACTAAGGCAGATGGGAGTCTAGACAGGAGGAACTTGGGCCAGAATTAAATTCTGTATCTTGTCCCTAAGCAGCAGGGTCAGCCACATGTCCAGAGTCCTGCTAAGCAGTGCGACCAAGGGCCTCCCAAGTCTTCTGTGAGTGAATTCACTTTGACGTCTCAGCAAAAGTATGAAGTATGATTAGCTGCTCATGAACAATGGAAATGACCAGTACAATAAATGTTCCAGTATTTGCAGAGACCAGTGTTGGTGGTCCTTACCTGAGTGTGACTGCCCAGGTGCTGCTTCCACAGCCAGCCCTAAAAGGCAGTTCCCACACAGGCCTAGGGCTCTGAACCAGGGCTGCTGCCCCACAGGCTGCACCTCCCTCTGCCATGCAGCCACAGAGGTGATGCCACTGTTGTGCATACACTCCAGCTGTGAGTTTATACCCAAAGAACTTCAACAAAAGCTTTGGTCAATGTCTTAGGCTGGGTTCTCTAGAGAAGCAAAACCAGTAAAGTGTGTATATATATATAGAGAGAGAGAGAGAGAGAGATTTATATCAAGGAAATAGCTCAAGTGGTTATAGAGGCTGGAACGTCCCAAGTCCGTGGGTTAGGCTGGAGGCTTCTCCTGATTCACATAGCCACAGCGGCTGGCGAACCCAAGATCAGCGGGTCAGACAGCAGGTCTCTGGCTAACCAGCTTCACAGAGCAAAGAATTCCAAGATCGGCAGGGAAGACCCCAGTTTAGATGATAGCTCAAGTCCCAAGAACAGGAGGTCAGATGAACAGGAGCCAACTACAAGATCCCAAGTGAGCAAAAGCCACGAACGAGTCTTGTCAGAAAGTCCACCTATATTGGATGTAGGCCACACCCCCAAGGAAACTCCCTTTTAATTGATTGGCTACTGACAGCAGATCCCATCATGGAGGTGATCACATTATATCAGATCTCGTCATGGAGGTGATCACATCATTATCCAAGTGCCAAACTACATCGTAACTGCCAAACCACTGAGAATCATGGTCCAGCCAAGTTGACACATTGCCTTAATGATCACAGTTCACATGAAATGAATGGAGTATGTTCATGTTGGCAGCACCATTTCACGGGACCACCAACGTCCATTCTGCCACCCTGCCTGCTTATCCGGCATGCTGGTTGATGTAGGAAGTGCTACGGTTTGAGTTCAGGCAGCAATCTTGGAACGTAATTTCATTCATTCCTGTCAAGCAATTTACCACTGGTTGTACAGCCTTGCCCTGGTCGTGCAACAGTTAAGCGCTCAGCTGCTAACCGAAACTTTGGCAGTTTGAACCCACCCAGCAGCTCAAAGGGAGGAAAGACCTGGTGATCTGCTCCCATGAAGATTACAGCCTAGAAAACCCTATGAGGCAGTTCTCTGTCACATGCGGTCACTATGAGTCAAAATTCGACTCGAGGACACCTAAGAACAACAGCACAGCCTTGCATTCAGAGAAAGGTCATGCTCCTAATTGGAATGAGAAGGGGGGCGCTGAACACGGTACACACTGGTGCTCCACAGTGGCTGTGTGCAGACATGGCCTTGGAGGGGGCTGGGAAACAAACATGTAGTTATGCCACATGAAGGTGGACGTGGAGGGAATTGGGACCCCCACGGTCCAAGCTCCCTTGTAGCAAGCTGCCCTGTGCCAGCAGCTGTGTGCCCTGGAGCAGGTGGACAGCCATCCTCCCAACCCTGTGCCCGCACAGGGAATGATTACTCAGCATAACAGTCCTGGTTACACACAGAGCATGCCTGAGTCTTTGTGAGTGTGGGGTGTCTGCTGTGCACTCCACAGCTGACAGCTCTCACATGCACCTCTTCTTGTACAGCCCAGGCACAAATCCCCATAGGAATTTCCACGATAGCAGCCACATGAATGTCATATGCCTGGCAAGTCCACAACCATCTCCTGACTCTTTGACTTAGTGTGAATCATTCAGCCCCGAGAATGTCTGAATTCTCCTCTGTATTATGAAACTAATCTCAACAATAAATCTGTTTTGTCTGAGCTTAACCTCACCTACACCAAAGTTTCTCTGATTGCTAAAAACATGCTTATCCCAGTGCTTCACAGTATGCATCATTGTTGATATTGTTGTTTTAATTAATCTTAGGGGCTATATGTTAAACAGAAATTCAAAATGAGTTTAAAAGTACCTGAAAAATTCCATGAAGGAGAATCCATATCCATGCTGCTCAGCAATTCCTGCACAAACCACATTTGCTGATGCTCCAATCAGGGTCCCATTGCCTGAAATCAAAATCAAGTCCCAGTTTGTCTTGGTGGCAGGCTTCTGTTCTCTTGTGTTCTGCTATGTATTTGGACCATCTCACAGGGTCTTGATGATTCTTTACAGGCAAGTTAAAGTGATTGTTTTGCAAATATCAGGGAGAAATCCCACTAGCAACAAGAAAGTAAATTCACCGCTTGTAAAAATCACAATTCATTTATAGGTAGGACTGCAGCTGTTCTACATGATAGAAAGAGGAAATGCTAAGGAAGAGTTGCAAATCCCTGTGGTTTAAGTGGCAGTGTCTTTTAGAGGGGCCACGACAGTGGGAAGGAATGTGTCCTTAGGGGCAGCACAGGACATCTCAGATGAAAATTGCCTTCTTCAGCACTACTTCAGGACTTGGACACATACCAGGAAACCCTGTTGTGAGGGGAGAGGGAGAGAATGGCTGCATAGATAAAAAGAACCACGTTAAAGTACTTTGCTTGGCATTTTTCATGAAAGGGCATCTGTCTGGACATGGAATGCCTCTCTTGACTGTGCACATGATCCATGGAGAGACATACACACATGATCAACAGTCTGAGTGGCCTGGGTGAAGAAAATGACCCAAGACTGGCCTCAGATTATTAGATACCCACACACTCCAACACACATACTTATTGGTTAAAAGAAGGATAAATGTTCTTGGTGAAGCCAATCACATCCTCCATCTCTCCAATCCATAGTGATCAGTGTTGGGAGAGGGACACTGATCCAGGCTCAGTCAATTTACCTCAGTCTGACACCTGGGCATAGCCTGGTGAGGACAAGACTCTTTCTACTGAGCTACTGAGGATTGGTGAGCTGTGAGATGCAAATCTGAAGCAGACCACAGCATTGTCAGCCTGCAGGAACAGCCTGTCTGAGAAATTCAAATTAAAACCATAACAACCCACTCAAATGGTTACAATTAATAACACTGACAAAGCCACATTTTGGTAGCAGCTGTTGATAGCACCTTTATCCATAACACCAAATAATGGAAAACAGCCCAAACATCCAACAACAGGTGAATAAACACATTAAGAAGTGACGAAAAATTTTTGAAGTAGAATGAAAAACTACTTAACAATAAAAAAAAATTATTACTGATACAACAATTATGAACCTTAAAATGTTATGCTGAACACTTCCCTTTCCAGGCAAGATAAACCAACAGTCCCTTCTGAAACAACCAAAACAACCAAACAAACAAAACCTAAATAGACAAAGTATGTACAACAATGAATTCAGGGTACTGGGCTTCAGGCAAAGGAGGATAGTGATCTCTGAGAGATAGGAAACAAATGAGAAGAGATTTATGATGTTATTTGATATCATACTGTATACCCAATCCAATCCAATAAGGCAAGCAAAAGAAATCGAAGACAACCAGATTGGAAAATAAGAAGTAAAACTGTCTTTATTCTCAGTCTACATGGTTATCTATGTAGAAAATCCAGTGGAACTTACAAAAATGCTACAGGAACTGATAAGTGAGTTTATCAAGGTTGCAAGATACCAGATCAGTACAAAAATAAATTATATGTCTATATACTAGTAATGAACAATTGGAAATAGAGATTAAAAAACAACACTATTTACAATAGCATCAACAATACGAAATTCTTAGGTATAAATCTGATAACAGATGTGAAATACCTGTACATTAAAAACTACAAAACATTGCTTAGAGAAATTAAAGAAGACTTAAATAAATTGAAAGCTATACCTTGTTCACACATCAGAAGATTCAATATTTTAAAGATAGACTAGCCAAAAAAACTATTAAAAAAAAAAGAATAAAGTTGTAGGTCTAACACTATGTGATTTCAAGATTTATTGTAAAGCTAGAGTATTTAAGACAGCATAGTATTAGTGTCAAGATATATAAATAGATCAACTGAACAGAAGAGAGTCCAGAAATAGACTCATACACATAAGGACAACTGATCTTTGACAAACGAGTCAAAGTCAATTCAGTGGAAAAAGAACAGCCTCTCAACAAATGGTGCTGGAACAATTAGATATCAATATGTAAAAGAATACAAATCTCACTCTTACCATATACAAAAATTCACTCAAAATGACCCATAGACCTAAATATTAAACCTAAAATATAAGTTTTTTAAAAGAAAACACAGGAGAAAATCTTTGTGACCTTGAATTACGCAAAGATTTCGTAGACCTGACACCAAAAGCACAGTGCATACAAGAAAAAATAAATTGGACTTCTCCAAAATTAAATACTTCTTCTCTTTGAAATACATTATTGGGAGAATAAAAAACAAACCACGGAGTGAGATAATATATTTTCAAGGCAATATCTGACAAAGGATTTACATCCAGAGTGTACAAAAACTCTCTTAACTCAATAAAAAAAGAAACCAATAAAGATATGGGCAAAATTTTTGAATACATTTCACTCAAGAAGATGTATGGATGACAAACAAGCAAATGAAAAGAAGCTCAACATCATTAGTCACTAAGAAAATGCAAATTAAAACCACAGAGATATATTACTACATACCAATTAGTGAAAATTAAAAAAGAATGACCATGTCAAGTGTTTGCAAGGATATGGAGGAACTGATAGTCTCATACCTTGCTGGAGAGAATCTAAAAAGTGAACAAGCACTTTGGCAAGCTCTTAAAATGTTTAACATTCACCTACCACATGATCCATCCATTCCACTCCTAGGTATGGTCACTTTCTAGAATTTATTTCATTTAGGTTTCTTTGCATCTTCAGCATTCTGAGGAGTTTTTTAAAACTATGGTTTTGTAGCTAATGTGGTTTGTTCTATGTCAGGCTGCAGGCAATGTTCTCTTGCAATTGTATACTTCCTAACTGGATTCAGAAGTACCCTGATGCAAACTTTGACAGGAGACAGCACAGAACTAATAAATCTTTCCCTCCCTCCTTCTCTTCCAAGGCACAACAGTTCCAAAGGATCCACCTAGAAAACGCCCCACTTCACTGAAAACTGGCTTTATCTTCTTCTGAAGCTGTCACTAGATTGGTGATGTACTGTGTGTTTGCTTTCTCTCCTCCACTGCCTCACTTCACTTTCTCCCACCTTCTTTCTGCACCTCCCAATAAAGCCTCAGCATGTAAGTTTTGCCTGAACCTTGGCTTTCTAGAAAACCCAGGCTAAGGCAATTTTTGCTTAAGACTTATTTGAACTGTTCTTTGCTCTTAGTTTAAAAGAAAAAAATCAACCAAAAAGTTTTGGAGTCAGACTAGGAAAGAATTTCTTGTTTTGAAATATCTAGTGAATTTCACCCAATTTATATAGCAAATTATATTTCTAAAACTGACTGAAAACTTCTATTTAAAGTGGTCTTCAAAAACCTTGAGTCAATGAGAGAAGGATCCCCAGTGGAATAAGTGTAGGGTTAACGACTGGGCATCTGATGTATCAGGAACAAGTACCATCAACAACCAGAGCTACTAGGTTAAAAATGTCTCAAGATTTAAAGCCTTCATTCATGACAGCTGTCTCCCTGCTTCCAAAGTGGGCTCAGTTAGTGAGTGTTTGTCCATTATTTTATGTTGTTAGCCACACAAAAATCCTCACAACTGGACCAATAAGCAACATCATGAGAAACAGAGAAAAGACTGAAGTTGTCAAGGATTTCATTTTCCTTGGATCCACAATCAATGCCCATGGAAGCAACAGTCAAGAAATCAAACAACGCATTGCACTGGGCAAATCTGCTTCAAAAGACCTCTTTAATGTTAAAAAGCAAAGATGACACGTTGAAGACTAAGGTGTGCCTGACTCAAGTCATGATATTTTCAATCGGCTCATATGCATGCAAAAGCTGGATGATGAATAAGGAAGACTGAAAAAGAACTGATGCCTTTGAATTGTGGTGTTGGCAAAGAATATTGAATATACCATGGACTGCCAAAAGAAAGAACAAATCTGTCTTGGAAGAAGTACAAGAATGCTTCTTAGAAGTGAGGATGGCAAGACTACGTCTCGCATACTTGGGCATGTTATCAGGAAGGATCAGTCCCTGTAGAAGGACATCATGCTTGGTAGAGTAACGGGTCGGTGAAAAAGAGGAAGACCCTCAATGAGATGGATTGACACAGTGGCTGTAACAATGGGCTGAAGCATAACAACGATTGTGAGGATGGTGCAGGACTGGGCAGTGTTTCACTCTGTTGCACATAGGGTCACTATGAGTCATAACCAATTCAGCACCTAACAACAACAACTACAGCCACACAGATGGTCCATGTTAACTTCCTTCCTTGAGACCCCCTCCATGTTTTCTCTGCATGTTCTGAGGGAATGAGAATGAGCCCAGGTGGCTTCTCCTCCTTCAAGATCCAGCTCAAAACTATCTGCTTTGGAAAACCTCCTTGATCTTTCCCCCACCCCCTCTCCAGTGCTCCCTAAGAGAGCATTTCACCATACAAGGACAGACCTACCCATGTTGGTCATAACCTTAGCTTTGGGGACTATCTTCCCTACTCAAGAGCAGGAGGGTGATTCATTGTCTAGCCCAATGTCTGGTTAATAGCAGACACTAAATAAGGTTAAATGAGCAAAATCCCACAAGGAAGACTCATTTTCAGGTATCCTTGGACTCTGTTTTTATTGCTGATGTTAAATGAAACTATGAAAAGAGTTACAGCTTCTCGTGGGGCTGGTTCTGTGACAGAACAATTTTAACAAGCTGTACTCTGGTAAGAACTTAAGACCTCAGTCACTAAAGTAGGTATATTAGCAGTCCCTAGAAATCATAAAGTTCACTGGATCACATAAATCACCCTTTACAAACAAGGAAATAAACTAAAAAGAAAGTTATTGATTCAGTAGCCAGAGATCAATTATAGAACAAAAAGCTGGATTATCTAAGCAAGCCTGTATGTAAAAACAAAAATTCCAAAATCCTGATGAAAAGGGGGAAAATGCAATACAGAATTTCAAATTCTCATGAACTCCAGACTTTCTGGAGCCATGGAGGCTAGATGAACCCCTGAAACCATTGCCCTGAGATAATCTTTAAACCTTAAACCAAAAATATCCCCCGGAGTCTTCTTAAAACTAAACAAAAGTTTAGCTTAACTAGTAAAAAAATGTATGCCTTGACTATTTTTCTCTTTTAAGAACTATCTGTATGTGATCAAACTGACATAAACAACTCAAAAGATTAGATGGGAACCTTTGGGGGCAGTCAATGTATGTTAATGGGAAGGAACAACTCAGAAAAGGAGCCCAAAGAGTGTAATCAGTAAGAGAGTATACAATGCTGGGGAAGTCAGCACAACTTGACCAAGCCAAAGTCATAGAAGCTTCATAGACCCAACTGAACTCCCTGAGGGACTGAATTACTGGGCTGAGGGCTGGGGACTATGGTCTCAGGGGACATCTAGCTCAATTGGCATAACATAGTTTATAAAGAAAATGTTCTACATCCTACTTTGGTGAGTAGCGTCTGGGGTCAGAAAAAGCTTGTGAGTAGCCATCTAAGATACTCCACTGGTCCCACCCTATCTGGAGCAAGGGAGAATGAAGAAAACCAAAGACACAAGGGAAAGATTAGTCTAAAGTATTAGTGGATCACAACTACCACAGCTTCCATCAGACTGAGTCCAGCACAACTAGATGGTACCCAGCAACCACCACCAACTGCTCTGACAGGGATCACAATAGAGGGTCCCGGACAGAGCTGGAGAAAAATGGAAAATAAAATTCTAACTCACAAAAAAGGACCAGACTTATTGGTCTGACACAGACTGGAGAAACCCCGAAAGCATGACCCCCGGACACCTTTTTAACTCAGTACTGAGGTCATTTCTGAGGTATACCCTTCCGCTAAAGATTAGACAGACCCATAAAACAAACAATAATACATGTGGCTCAACCATGTATATGAGACTAAATGGGCACACGAGCCCAGAGGCAAGGACGAGAAGGCAGGAGGGGACAGGAAAGTTGGTAATGGGGAACTAAGGTCAAGAAAGAGAGTGTTGACACGTTGTGGAGTTGGCAACCAATGTCACAAAACAATATGTGTATTAAACGTTTAATGAGAAATTAATTTGCTCTGTAAACTTCATCTAAAGCACAATAAAAAAAGAATGTAATCAATGTCACTGAATTATACATGTAGAAACTACTGAATTGGTGTATGTTCTGCTGTGTATATTCTCAACCACAACAAAATTAAATTAAAAAAAAAAAAGAATGAAAACTCCAAGTGTAACTGCTGTCTTATCTCAGACTCTCTGCAATCCTCTTGTGCTCCCCAAGGTGACTAGGCTTCCAAATGTGAGGAAGATTCTCATACAGGGCCCTCCAAAGACATGTACATCCCAAAGGCCTTGTATTTGGTCCCAGGGGTCAGTCTCTCCAGACACTTTTCAGTTTCTCAATCAAACTCCCACAAATCCTTCATCTTTCTTCCTACTCTTAGTTCAGAGTCTCTGCTTCTCAGCTTGCCCGTTCATCACCTCACCCCATCCCTTAAGGAGGGAATAAGAGAAGGAGAAAGAGGACTGTAACAGAGGATGGTTTCTGACTCTGTTTCAGAACTTAACTACAAGCTACATGGAAATGTTGACAGTGACCAAGCTGTATGGACTGAGTTGGACTATAGCACAGGTTTAGGATGCCACATACAGTTCCACCAGGAGTGGGACACAGCAGGCTCACAGAGAAGCTGAGGCTCCAATCAAAGCTGACAGTGTGCTTCCACTTGGGAAACCATGAGGGCTCTCCTTAATTTACTCTCAATCTTGTATCAGCGCACTCTTAATTTCTGACTCAGAAGCAGTGCCTCCATGCCCTTTCCCACAGATGCAGTCAGCATCCTTACCTCCTAGGCAGGCTCCAAGGGCTAGTGAATACATGAGTGGCTGCACAGGAAGGCTGACCTCAGGGTCTTGGCTCAAGTTCAGAAGCACAGGAATCTATGGAGGAAAAGACTGATATTACATCTCATGAAAACGTAGGGGCACTGTCCCCACTGTGAGTCACAAAACTCAAAGCAATTTTTCAGCAGTCAAAGTAAGGAGCACAGGAATTTGGAAGGAAACCAACATGAACTCTGGGGTCCAGAGACACTTAAGTCTGACCCAGCTGCATGTCCTTTGACTCCAGCACATGATTGATTTGTCCCCCCATTTCCTTACCAATAATTGTACAGGTGCCACTGTGACTCTTGAGTGGGGCAATGTCAGGTAAAGCCAAGCACAGTGCCCAGGAACTTAGTAACATAAGAGAATCTATGACACCCCACAATGCACCAAGTCCTGTGCTAAATATTTGCATGTAGCAACTTATCCAATACCCAAACACCCTTGAGATGTATCTATTATTCCTTTCATTGACCAATGAGGATTCTGAGATTCAGAGAGGTACTAAACACCAGTCTCTTGAGTGGCTGGCCACAATTTGAGCACAGTCTTTTGATTCCAAAGCACACTATGGCAAACCTGTGCTAAGCTGCTGCCCACCACTGCTCTCTGCCCTATTTCCTGAAACCTCTGGCACCAGGACTCCCTAACAGGCCTCACATTCAATAACCAGTGGCATCATTCTCTAGTCTGTCATGCCAGCATCTGGGGAACCTTTTTGAAAAAGATCGATTCAATATTATTGCAAGAAATGAAACGTGGTGGTAGTGAAGTCTCCATAAGAAATTTGTATTTGGTTTATGTTGCTTATGAAGAACAGAGATGGACCTGGAGTGAGGGTTGGGTATATGTGGTGGTGTCCTGCCAAGGACATTTCAGTGGCCTATGGCTGGTTAGTAAAGGCCCTGCACCTGCTGCCTGGGGCAGCTGCTTGTGTCAGCCTCTCAAAGAGCAGGAGGACTAAGGTCCCAAGGGTACATCTAGAAAAGACTATATACAATCACAAACAGAAAGCTGAGGCTAGGGTGAAGAAATGTAAATGATGGCAACATCATTTGATATGGAGAACTGAGGGACCACAGAGTTGCCTCTGCTGGACTTGCCTCCCCTCTCATGAAACGCTAATCATGGAAATTAGACTGCAGGAGCACACTTTGTTATGTCCCCATGGGGACCATGGAGGCCCCCCACCCGCTGATTCTGCCCTTAGTCAGTGGTGGCTTTGTGCCACTCAGGACTTCAGGCTCAGCCATGAAAGGAGTGAACCCAAGCTGCCCCTGGCCAATCGGAACAGCAAGGAACAGGACCAGGAGGCCACAGCAGCCTTCAGCAGCTGCAGGTCCCGCAGTCAGTCCTGAAGTTACTTTTCAGGGTTTGAGGAAGAGCCCTTAATAGTTGCTGGGTCGCAAGAAGCACTTCACATCAGCAGCACCAAATACTTGAAGAGAAATAAGTAGCATGCAGGGAAATTGCTCCAGAAGCAGAAGGGCCCAGCAGAAGGGCCCAGCAGACCCCACCTGTGTTTCAGTCTTTGTGTCTGTTGTCCCCTGGTGGGATTCACACTTGGTGGTTTGGCTGTCTGGAGGAGCAGTGAAGTGCACCTTCTTACCAACACGCTGTTCACCAGTGACCAGAGCACGCCAGCTCTGGACACCAGGCCCACACGGGGCAGAGCAAGGTCACCAGGCCCAGAGACCTCCAGACTGGGACAGATCAAGCATAGGACCTGGGTCCTAGTAAGCGGTGCTGGGGCATGGACAGAAAGAGGAGGAAGACAAGTGCCCCATGGTGGGAAGAGCATGTGCCATGGGGAGAGAAAACCAACTCTGTGTTCCAAGCCACATATTGACAAGTACCACAGTCAAATGCGAGCTCACCCGCAAAATAATGTGCTCTGAAACAGTTTTGAAATCCAAGCCCTCCACTGGATTCACAATTCAGATAAGAGCCATTGCTCTAAGCTTTGCCCCATTCCAAGGATTCCGCATTAATGGGTGAGGTCTCACAGCCTCATGCTGCTGTCTCCCCCTGGATTCTGCCCTTTCTGACCTCCTCCCTGGCTCCAGACCCAGCCCCTTCACTCTGAGCCCTGCCCTCCTTCCAGGGCTCTCCTCCTGCACACCACCCTCACACCCACCTTTGCACACCTGGAACACTTGGGCTTCTGCCCTCTGTGATGGTTAACGTTATGTGTCAACTTGACTAGGCCATAATTCTCAGTGGTTTGGCAGATATTATGTAATCATCCTCCATTTTGTGATCTCGTGTAAGCAGCCAATCAATTGAAAGGGGAGTTTCCTTAGGGGTGTGGCCTGTATCCAATACATACAGATGGTCTAGCAAAGCTTGCCCTCTCTGGATCCTGTACCTGACTCATCATTCTCTGACTTCTGGTTCTTGGGATGTGAGCCAGCAGCCTGCCACCTGACCTGCCAATTTTGGATTCATCAGCCCCTGCAACCACCTGAGTCAGGAGAAGCCTCCGGCTTGACATCTGACCCACAGATTTGGGAGTTGTCAGCCTCCACAACTGCGTGAGCCATTTCCTTGAAATAAATCTCAATCAATGTCTCTCTCTCTCTCTCTGTATACGTGTATATATATATACATACATGTATGTATGTATGCATGTATGGATGTATCTATATGGAACCCTAGTAGCGCAGTGGTTAAGCTAACCAAAAGGTCAGCAGTTTAAATCCACCAGCCACTCCTTGGAAACCCTATGGGACAGTTCTATTCTGTCCTATAGGGTCTCTATGAGTCGGAATCAACTTGACAGCAACGGGTTTGTTTTTTGCTTTTTGCTTTTTTGGTATTTATACATATACTTTTATACGTGTGGGGGAGTATGTGCTTCACTGGTTTTTCTCCTTTAGACAACCTAGTCTAAGATACCCTCAGTGCTGCCGCTGGAGTAGCTTCTGTTCTTAGTCCTTGCTCTCCCTTCCTTCAGCCTCTGGGCTAGCCTGGGCCCCTAAGAAGCCTTCTCTGACTTTCCAAAGGTGGCTGATGCTTTCTAACACTGCATGCTCAGAACTTACTGCCAGCACCACACTTAGCACTTCTCCCTCCTCCCCCCGTCTATGCTCCTGTAGTTTAGTGAAGAACCCAGACTCTCTGCCTGCTCCCACTATGACCTCCCACGTGCCTCCATGTGACTCTTCACAGATTCCTTTCTCAAAAATAGCTCCTTTCTAGTGCTTGTCCTGTCTGGTATGGCCAGGAGAGCTGTCACTTAATCCCTTGAAGAGTGATTTGCCTCAGCTCAGCATCCAGTGGGTGCACAGTGAAGACTAGCCAAGGCTCCCCCTCACCTCCATGACCACGCTCACACATGAGCTTCAAATGTTGTTACTCACATGCCCCCTAAAGAGCTTCGAAAAAAATATGTGACTGCCCTCCTACATTTGAAGTTAGTATGTGAAATGTGTTGTCCTAATTTAAAGTCTCTCCCAAGGATGCAATTGGTAGCATATAGTAGTATTGCCATTCTCAAACAAAGTGATCTACCACTGTCTCAGTCATCTAGTGCTGCTCTAACAGAAATACCACAAGTGGATGGATTTGGCAAAGAGAAGTTTATTCTCTCACAGTCCAGTAGGCTACAAGTCCAAATTCAGGGCATCAGCTCCAGGAGAAGGCTTTCTCTCTCTGTTGGCTCTGGAGGAACGTCCTTTTGATGAATCAGTCTTCCTTTGGTCTGGGAGCATCTCAGCGCAGGAACCTCAGGTCCAAAGGACGCGCTCTACTCCCAGCACTGTTTTCTTGGTGGTATGAAGTTCCCATGTGTCTCTGCACAATTCAGTCCATGACACACCACTCTTTTAAATACATCCATTTAAATTTAAATAGCATAATATCATAATTCACTGAAAAATCCAGAAAAAGCTACTTCTCAGTGGTCTGAAAACAGGAGAGTGCCCAGGCCTTACTGCCAGACCTCCAGTCCTGCTCTAAAGCCCAGGGAAAGTCAAGAAGGGCCAGACAATCACAGACAGGGCTGAGCAGGGCTGTGGGTGACCCTCATAGGACAGAGAAGGAGAGGGCACTGGTGACAGGTGACAATGCCTCCATGATGCACATGGTCCAGAGGGGAGAGTCCCAGGGGTGGACCTCGAGGTCTTTAAGCATCAGAGGCTCAAGTGAGGAGGCCCTTCTACCTGGTCATCTCAGGGTGATGCTCTGGGGGCTGCCAGGGCACCCTGGAGGGAGGCTGTGGCAAGCAAGTCTGGTGAGAATGCCGTGGGGTGTCCCTGGCCATGGGGGATGCCAAGAGAAGGCTTCTGCTGGCAGAGACTCGTGCTCACACCTGCACGACCTGCCCCCTCAGTGTTAATCTGGACTTTGAATCCATGCCCCACATTTAAAAATTGAAAATTTTCCTATAAAAATATGGGAATCTGGCTCCTTCTGCAAGATCAGAGGAGTTGACATGCATGGCTGTGCCTCCCTCTGCCACCTTCCCAGAGCCCCGAGCCGAGGCTGAAAGTCAGCATGCACTGAGCCACTGGAGCCACTGCTGGAGTCAGTCTTGTTGTGGATGTCCTGCATCCTCAGGTAGGTCACTATCGTGTGCGTGGAAGCCCAGGCCCTGGTGGCTGGAGGCACTCAGGAATGCCCTTGCAGCAGAATTCCTTCTCTGCCTGCAGGAGTGAATCTCAGCCTCCAAGCCCCAGTGCGTGCTCCCCAGGAGTTTCTAAAAGCAGGTGGAAAAGTTTTCCAGTAATGCGCAGCAGAGGCACAAACTCCACAGACAGGGCCTTGGCCCAGACGGCGCTTCTTGAACTTGAACATGCCCAGCTCACTGTGTTGATTCAGTGGGTCTGGAGGACAGAATTCTACACTTCCAACCTGCTCTAGGAGGTGCTGAGGGTGAAGAGCTGCACGTTTTAAATGTAATGTGTTCCTTTTCTTCCTCCTGCACTCCCATCATTAGCATGGTGGGTCTCCTGGGTCTCTCCTCCAAATCTCTCACCAACCTTTTCATGAACGGATTCTTTGTGCTTTGGGTCTGTGCTTTTGGGCATTTCTCTCACTTGGCTTCAAAACCA